AACTGAAAATATGGATGGAGGACCTCAGTGACGAGAGGAGAATGTGTAGCGCTGAGCTAATACATATACATGGTGATAGCATCAGGCTAAACAGGCTAAGTTAGCTTTGGTTCTTCTTCCATGAAGCAGCTCTGTTGTCCTCCATCCATATTTTCAGTTACAGGCTGAGTCATTTCTACCTTCTCCTCTCTGTCATCGCTCTCTGGTTTCATTTAAAAGAGTCGATCATCAGATATTGTCCAAGATTAACCTTCAGGGTGGATATAGCTCACTAGCAGCCTCACACCGAGGACCTATCCACGTCATCATTTACCCAGAATGCTTTGCGTGTAAATAAAATGGCCCCGTCCGTGTAATATATTTTAAACTTTTAGTTTAAAATTTATAAAAACTAATCTGCCTACAGTATTTTTACAGTCTTTATTTTACAGTGAAAATATATGTTTATCAAATAAAGTCAAATGTTACAACTAATCATGGATCCCTTTAATTTTCATGGCAATAAGTGTATCACACCGCTGATATTTGTTTTCATATCTGCAGGTTGGACACATTTTGCTTAGATTTGTGGGGCAAATGAAAATAATCTAACTTGAAGTTTTGAAGACTCAGAGTGACTGTGGCGTTTAATCATTCTGTCTGTCTTGTTTTTCTTGCCCTCTGTCTTGCAGTGAGTCAAGTATTTGCCAGGCTCGGGCCACTGTGATGATCTACGATGACAACAGTAAGAAGTGGCTCCCGGCAGGGGTCGGAGCCCAAGCCTTCAGCAGAGTCCAGATCTTTCACAACCCCTCCAACAATGCCTTCAGGATAGTGGGGCGCAAGATGCAGACAGACCAGCAGGTAAGACGTGGCCGCTTCAAGCAAACTACGCGTCGGTCAAATGTGCATTTTAGGGTTTTTATTTGTGTGCGAATTTGTCTCCTGGGTTCTGAGCCGTGCTGCGCAGCTCATCTGTGTGTCGGCAGTGTGGCCCACGGACATCTGTGGTGCCAAAGGCCATCTGATTAAGCAAGTGTTAGACAGTTTGAGTGCACAGGGAATCATACGATGACGGATTTTACAAACTGAAGATTACATGGAAAACATTCGTTATACTTAAAGCGATTAATTCATCGTAAATTTTAAACAATAAAGCATTTTTGTTAGGACTGTGAGCAATATATATTTTGCAGTGTGAACATTTTATAAACAGGCCATCTATTAAAAAAAACGGCTGATTAAACGAGCTGTAATTTTTTGTATGTGCTTTTTGGCAAAATGTCTCATACACCACTGGACATATTTGAATGAAACTCTAAAAGCAACTACTAGACTTACATCAACACCTGATTAACTTTTAGAGTCAACYCTTTTCAAGATGGTTGTCATCTCTGATCAASATTTAGCAAACACGAAAATGGCTGAATCATAGTGAATTTTACAGCTTTGAGATGAAAAGTGGCCCTTACAGACTGTGTGATATCTTTTGTTGAAAACTTTGTCATTCATGGTTGTGGTCAAAATTAAAGCACTGTCTGAGCTTTGAACACAGGTTGTCAAAAGGTTTGACAGAGAGAGGCACCGTATTTATTCAAGTATAATGCATAAAATTTAAATACATAAAATCATCCATAAAGTTGGGGGTAGTACTATACTCAGATAAATATATTTACTTGTGTATTTTAACTGAAATATCGGCTTAATTCACAAAATTATTGAGTCCGGAAATGAGACCGCGACGTAAAAAGCAGTTGAAAYGAGCTCACCTGTGACACTCCTCTGTGCTTCAGAGCGAGAWAACAGATCCAAGCAGGCGACATGATGTGAAAAAAAAGGGGGGAAAGTAGTCCTAMACTTTAATAATGATAGCAAATGGCATTAGCGTGTAACCGGGCCGCTTCTCAAACAACAACAAACACATGTTCGTCTGTAATGACGRCCGTCTACCAGTGTTCTGAAAAAGTTTGTATCCCTGAAAAACATTTCCCTACCAGAGGGGGCGCTCGCGAGTAGGAAGTAATCTGCTTTTCCCCCAGAAGATGGCCCAAATCTCATGTGAAGTCTCTGACTTTTGTGTTGGCGCATCCTGGTGGACTATGTGTAAAATGTCAGAATTCATGTGATGCTGCTACAGCTGATACATATTTGTTGTCAAAATACCTTTTAGTACATATGTTGTTAAAATAAAACGAACAGTCCAATGATCATTTTACTGATATGTATAAAGACTGCAAAGGCTGAAAAATCTTAAAGTCTGTATGAAATTGGAGGTAGTTTGAGGATTTAATTTTTTATGCTTTTTTCGTATTATACATGAGATCGTATTATACACGAATAAATACGGTATCAATTATTGCAGAGAAATTTATGAGACCACGTGCATTCAAATGTTCATTAAAACCAGCATGTCTGCTTTATACAAAATRAAGATTTCAACAATCTTTAAAAATATCCTTTTAAAGGAACTTTTCCTTTTGAACTTGCTGCCGTACTGCCTTCAAAGACATTTCCCATGTTTTTGCCACATCATGACTCTGCTGCAGATAAAGGTGGGCTGATTCCAAGTTTGAAAGTTTAGGTGAACCATTACTGGGTGGGTCTATTCTTGACTGCAGGCTTTTTTTTTTTACCCCTCTACCAGAGTGTCTCTCCCCGTCTTTAAACATTCAGCACACTGAAGTGCTCCCCAGAGACGAGCCCTAAAGTGGAGGATGTTTCCTGTGAGATAGTTAGCCTGTTCAACCATTTCCTGTGACAATTTGAAAAGAAGTTTGATACCCAGTGAGGTCTCTAAATTTGTCTCTGATGGAGACTTTGGCTTCAGCTGGTGGTGAATTAAAGCCACAGGGGGGACAAATTATAAGACAAATAAAAGTGGGTGTATTTTCTTTCTGCTTGGATTTTCTCAGTCTTGTTTTTCTTTTTTTATCGCTGGTGGTGTGTTTTCAATTAGTTTTGTTCTTCGTAGTGTGACTGTTTTAAAMAGCTATAAGAACACAGGTAAAGCCATCAAGTCTCAGTCAAGACATTCATTCCTGTAAAATGTGTCGATTTCTGTTAGTTAAACCTTCACTTTTGTCCTGATTCATGTGTTCCCGCTCACAGTCGCTCTGTGTTTTTTTTACATTCTGATAAGATTTAAAAATAGTTTTGAAAAATACCACTGTCTGCTGTGGAAGCTGACCTTGCTGGCCCTTTTTTTTTTTCCCCGGCACATGTTGCCGTCTGTGATATTCACCCTGACAGGGTCTCCTCTCCTCTCTGCTCAGTGGAATCCAGAGTCTTTTAAACAAACACTGAAAAGGCGCGTCAGCACATTCAACCTTGTTTTTTTTTTTTTTTTTTTCTAACAAACGGGCTCCAGGCCTCCTGCTGAGTGGAGTCTAAACCAGAATGATGCATAAAAGAATAAAGAGCACAGCATCATTTTAGGTCTGAACACGGATGTGGTTTCACTGGGCTTTTAATAGCTTTCCTAGTATAGAACACTAACGGCTCCTAGAAGCTACCAGATTATTAAATTTTATTATYGCTCACTGCCAGGGGAGAAAAGACAAGAATGTTTTTGCTCATGCCTGTATGTGCCTTTTTTATTTGTCTCTTTTGTAAAGTACCTTGTTACCCTTGTATGAGTTTGAATTAAAGTTAGGCGGAATCATTAAGTGTACACCTAAAACTGATTGGTGGTAAGTGACCTTTGCAAACACAAATGGCCATAACTCAGGTAGTTTTACAAATATTCAGCTAGAATTTAGTGAGGTGATATTTAAAGGGATTCATGATTAATTGTAACATTAGACTTTATTTGATAAACATACATTTTAACTGTAAAATAAAGACAATAAAAATACTGTAGGCTGTTTATAAATTTTTTAAATATATTTTAACACAGACTGGGCCATTTTAATCACACACAAAGCATTCTGGGTAAATGATGACGTGGATAGGTCATCGGTGTGAGGCTGCTAGTGAGCTATATCCGCCCTGAAGGTTAATCTTGGACAATATCTGATGATCGACTCTTTTAAATGAAACCAGAGAGCGTTGACAGAGAGGAGAAGGTAGAAACGACTCAGCCTGTAACTGAAAATATACAGTAGATGGAGGACAACCTCAGCTTAGCCTGTTAGCTTTAGCGCCGATGCTAAATTGCCTTATATGTATTAGTTCAGCACTAGCACGACAAACAAACAAGCTAAAATGAGGTCCTCCATCCATATTTCTTCTCACACTGAGGACCTATCCACGTCATCGTTTACCCAGCATGCTTTTTGTAAATAAAATGGCTCAGTCCATGTTATATATATTTTTTAAAATTTAGTTTAAATTTTATAAAAACTAAACAGCCTACAGTATTTTTACAGTCTTAATTTTACAGTTTAAATAAATGTTTATCAAATAAATTCTAATGTTACAACTAATCATGAAAGAGCCAATACATCTTACAATGGGGTCATACATATCATATTTTACATGGTTTGATCAAAACGGCTGTAACTCTTATCATATTTCAGTATAACCTGATCTTCGATTAAAACTCTGGCATGATAATAAAGTGGGTGACTTACAAGTTTTAAAGATTTGACGGCTAATTTTTTTTTGGCATTCCTTTTTCGGCAGTTCTGCACAAGATTTATGTTCAGTTTTCATCATTGGAATGGAGAAAACATTACGGTTATTCCTTTAATTGATTTTCTTACACATTAACAATTGCACACAGGATGAGATGTCAAGAGTTGAAGTTACTTTTAGAGCTGATCAGTGTCTGAATATCAGAGTGTAACATTGTCACAAAGTATAAAAATACGTGTGTTTATTTCAACTAATGTCATCACAGTATTCAACAATATCACAATTGCATGTTTTCTCGAAGTTCAACATTAGTATTGTCCCTTAAATGCAGACTGAAAAAGAGTTRGCACTCCAGCTGGAGCTGCATCATCAGCGTAAYGCAGTTAAAGGTAACAAATTTTTTAATTGCTCATCTGCTCTGATTCTCCATCAGGTGGTGATAAACTGCCCCATTGTGAGAGGTCTCAAGTACAACCAGGCCACACCAAATTTTCACCAGTGGCGAGATGCCAGGCAGGTGTGGGGSCTCAACTTCGGCAGCAAAGAGGACGCCACTCTGTTTGCTAACGGCATGTCTCATGCTCTGGAGGTCCTGAACTCCATGGCAGACGCAGGTAAATAAGTTCTGTCAGGACCCTTCAYTGCTTCTGGTTCAACGTTTTATGTTAATTCACTACAGAGTAGGACTTTTTCTGTGTAGTACATTTTATTTATGACAGTGTAGAAATCTCTAATCATTTACAAACACGACACTGACATAATCTGAATAAGAAAACAAAGAAGAAAAGTCTTTTAAAGTTTGCCCATTTCTTGAAACTAAAATACCAAAATTCACATGCTGGTCCTGATTTTAATGGTTTTCAACAAGTCAAAGCTAAAATATAGAAACTGCAAGCAACATCATCAACATTAAATATTTTTAGCAAGGTTATATTATTTTCTCTATAGT